TGACCAGTATATTTTTAAAATAACTTCAGTAAGTCATTGTTCTAACATTTTAAAATTAGTTTTTTATTAACGAAATAAATGTACATACGATTCCCATTTAAACATTAAGAATATGAATTTCAGAGAAGGGATCTTTTTTCAGAGAATTTATTTTCAAACTGTACAATCACATATATATGGAATAATAAAAGATCATGTTTATGTATGCACAGACAAAAGTCTTGTAAAATCAATAAGTAAGCAATGGATTATAATGCGAATGGGGAAAGATAATTAAAATGTTTTGTTAAATTAATAGTTGAGTGTAATGGAATGACATGATGTTAGAAACATCTGTGATTAAAATTATGAGTATATGAAAAAGAATTAAAGAGAAATGGGGACTGTTTCGAATATGAAAAATTATAATAACAGTTTAAAACCATGATAAAGATAAGGATAAGATGTACATTATTTGTATGCACAGTTCTGGGTTAAACTCAGGAATGGTAAGAGCTATATTTATTTTAAGGAGTTGGATGCAAACGTATCTAGGTAGACTTGGCTAAATTCTATAAAAGACCTTAAAAGCAACTTGTGGATAAGTGAATCGATTGAAATCAATTAAATGTTCAAGAATGGAACTTCTGACCGCTGTCCTGTCACTAATGTAGAATCACACTTAGACATGTTCACGTATCATAGTTGAAAGCAAGCACTGGTTAGGGTCTATGTGTTTTGCTCCACATGAGCGACTGAATTGGTATATATACATAAAAGCGAAAAACAAGTTTCTACCAGTGAACGTTATTCGTAGTTCTTCTGTAGAAAATGTTCATTTTATCGATACCGTTAACTAGTTTTTAAATACATCAAAAGTTTGGTCACCTCTAAATTTTAGTTCATATAAAGATATTTATGAGAAACGGATCTAACGGATTTCTTTTTCCAACTTCCTTTTATGTTCTTCACTGGGAAGTGGCTTCGGTAACCGCTTTCAGGCAATGATTTTATGTGGGAATCCAAGTTCAGTATCAATCCGTTCATTGTTACATACCTTTTGTTTGTTTGCTGTATAAGGATTCACCACTCCTCCTTATCATGTCCTCACGGTATTAATACTTTTATAATTCCATATTTTCGTCCATATATATATATATATATATATATATATATATATATATAATTTTACAACTTAGTAACTAATTTGTGGAAAACAGATCTCATTACTAAACGTGGTGTTTATAAATAAATATGTATCTTAATTAAAGGATTTGTAAAGAATAAAGTAATGTGGTTGTTGTTAACCTGCTTGTAAAGCTACTTTGTAAACGCAACAATTTTAATTTCGATATCTAAAGCAAACATAAACCATAGACGCTAATATGAAATGAACGCACAGTTCTTGCATACTTTGATTACAGTGTTTGTCAATGGCTAAGGTTATAAAATTTGTTAAATCTTTCGAAAGCATTCATTATTTTATCATATACTTACAAAACTATTTTCAGGTATTATTAACTGATTATTAAGTCTGACAATTATATTTTGGATCAATAAACTTAACGTTAATTAAAACAAACTTAAACAGAACTTCATGAAGTTATATTCGATACTGTTTCATACTCTGTGAATGAATTTCTAGAATAACTTTATATTGTTCACTCACTCACTTTCTTCTCTCTTATAATGTGAAATTAAAATCATTTTGTGTTCAAATAACATCATTGATACCAAACTATCCACAATTTATTGATTTTCTCTTTGTCAATGTATGAATTCGAATATTTTGCTACATTTTCTATGTTTTTCTGTAAAACATTTAATGATAATAATATTATCACATGTTATTCAATTGAAATAATTAAGTTATATACATTTTTAACAAGAAGCAATAATAATCAACTATTTAATTGAATTCACATGAATGTTTCGTTTGTTTTAACGAGACAGTAATTACATTTAATAAATTGTTTTCTTGTTTCTCTTTTTTCTTTTCTTTTTAATTTTTATAAATGAATATGAAAATATAGAAAATATTTTCTTCATAGAATATTTCTAGTCTATTTATTCTTTTAATTATATTCTGTTATGTTATAAATGACATTTCATTATATAATATTAACTTGTTAAACTATGTCATTATATATGTATATATATATATATATTGAAAATAATTTGATTGTTAGAATTATATAAATTGATTATTAAAAATGTTGTTAATTAGTACTATCATTTATGTTAATCAGAATATAAAAGTGATTTTTTTAGTTATATGCAATATTTCCAGGGAAAATATGTTTTTGTTTCTAATGAAATCATATTACATGTTTAAATATTAGTTTATGCTTAGGTAAAATCGGTAGAAATAATAATGTGATAATAATAAAGTAAATTTATAAACATTCACTTATATGATGAATGAGTTCGTTTGATAATATCCTTTCATAATAATTAAATATTAAAACAGTACTTCACAAGTTTTAAACAAATTTCGAATATTTCTTAGTTTACGTTCACTTCATATATATATATATATATATATATATATATATATATATATACGTGTTGGGTGTGAGATAGTTATCGAACTCAGACAACAGATGCAGTGTTGCGCGAAGTCATCTATCCATTGATGTTAGATATTAACACTGTTGGATGATAGCTCAGTGATCTAGAGGTGAGGCATTCGTGCGCGAAATCTAAGGTCCTGGGTTTGATTTCCGTCTGCGGTATCGTGGATGCGCATTGCTGAGGAGACCCGTGCTAAGACGAAAAGGCCGTACAGTGCTTTCAGGTTTTGGACGGTAGTCTGGTTTACATTGTCTGACGAATTCAACTGTTACATTATGGTAAATTCTTAGACATAATCAGCTACAGGATGGATACTAACGAATTTTTCATAAAATTATATGTTGGTCTCAATTTTATATTAAGCAGACAGTGCTAGTTAGACCTATCATTGGAACGGGTCATAGAAACATCATTCAAATAGCTACTAAATCAAAATAGGATCAAATACCAAGGCTGAGTGTTTCGTCCTGTTTTTAGGCCAATCAGTTGGATGTATCGAGTAGCAATACCCACTTAGCTACTGAGCCCAGATAGCCACTGGTATGTGCGATGAGGCGAATTGTAATTTTAAAGTATTGGTTGTTTTAATTTTTGTAGTGATGTTTTGATCAGTCTTTTATGGCATATGTGCATGCTGTGCAGATCGCTTTGGTATTGCCATAAAGTCACAAGGATACTGAGTTATGTTGAATAGTGGCTAACAATAGAGCCAAAATCGTGCATTTTTTCCTATTTAAGACTCGTCAGTTGGATGAAATTACATCTCAGAGTTGATGTTAGGTCACGGACTCGAACTTTCAGTTATATATTGGACGTGAATTCCTGTTCGTCAACGCATAAAGTTTTATTACTCAATGAAAAGGTGCTAAATCGGATTTGGTGCATCAAAGTACTTCAGATCACAGATATCTCCTGTAGAATTGTCATATCTGAAATCATAGTTTCTTGCAATTTTGTTTCCAACCAACTAAGATCTGAAATAGGATGTCACACAATCTACAATTGTTTAACGTGGTATGCAAATTAATAATCGACCTATAATTTGGAACATCTCTTAAATATAGACCACAAGACATTAGTTATTACTAAATTGTTTCTGTATATTTCTTTGATGAGCATCGATTCATTCAACAATTAATTAATTAACAAATGTTGAGAACTTATTTCCGATTTATTACATTTTTGTATCTTCATCTAAAAACAAATTAGGATTCCATTTTAATCATTCCGTTGGTAACTAATGACTTAAGGGTACAATAAATACAAATAAACTATTATATAAAAGTTCATTAACTTATATATTTAGCATTTATTCTATGTAAATTACATAAAAATTTCATCATTTTGCAAATAGACTATTTAAGTCTAAGAAACGAACCTCAAATTATGAAATTAACTTTTTTACTCATAAAACGATATACTTAATTTTTACCCACACTATATCCTATTTAATTTAATTTACTACATAAAATCCGTACCATTCATAAAATGATATTTAGTTTATGGAATCAATTTGTTAAATGATTAATTCATTGTCATATACTTTAAAAAATGTTCTTTGAAAGCTACAAATTTCAATTCATGGTAAATTTCAAGTACATTTGTCTATTTTATAGAATAATTATAAGGAAGATACTCTATTCTTAAACAATATTGTTTTTCTTTTTTAATCTTCTACACAAACTTATTTAAATCAAATATTTTAAGTTTAATTAATGTGTTCATTAAGTTCAATATTTATAACACTGTCAAATGACAACAATTCATAGGTGTTCAATAAATCTATTTAAGATCTAATTTAACTGATCAAATATAATAACTACACAAAGAAGGTAGAGTAACTAGCAAAGACACTGAAAACAGATACATTCAAAATTAAATTTTATGCATTTCTTAACTAATTTGCATATGAAATAACCCACTGAATTATATATATATATATATATATATATATATATATATATATATATATGGATAGATAAAGAGTATAAAACATGACCGTATTTGACCGATCAGACTAAGAATAACATAGTGTTTGATTCTCTAACATTCTATTGGATACCATCAAGTATATGAAATCGATTTATCATTCTCTTCAAAGCAAAAGGCACAATACTCGAATAGTTTATTTTCTAAATGATTAATTCAACTAAATGGAATATAAAACCTATACATCTACTAGAACAGAAGTAAAATGATAAAATTGTTATAATTATGAAAACTATTTAAATAATGAAATTTGGATAAAGTTTTTATTACTTTAGATATACTTAATAAACAATTAAAATAGCATTTAGTAAACAAATATTATAGAACAAAATTAATCTATTATTTTACCTATTTATCATATTTTGAAAACAATGAATATTCATGTTGTGCCTAAAATCCTTTTTCCAAATAAAAACTATTATAGATTGTCACCAACACAAGTATCACAAACATTAACAATGACAACAGAACAACAACAAGGAGATAAAACAATTAAAAATTCCGATGAACCTCAACTAGATACTAATAAAGATGATACGCTATTTGAATATTCAAAAGTTAGTGAAATTGAAACTGTTTCAAAAGAAAAATTACCAAATTCATTATCACAAATTTCAGTTGATACTCAACCATTGAATGATTATGATAAATCACAAGAGGCAACAAATTCAACAGGTAAGTAATGCAAAGAATCATTGTTAATTATTTAATATATTTTATAGTCGATTTGTTCATGTATAAAATAAATTTCAAACGATTACATTTTGTTATGATTGATAATTTTTTCACCATACTGATATACATGATGTCATGGGCTGATATCATTTATCAAAAATAAAAATCAATATCAAATTGCGATTTTGTATTGGTTTAATTTACAAATCTAGTATTTGATCCAAAATCGGAATCACGACATTCTGACTGTATAGTGAACACAATAGCCTTAGATTATCGAGTCGATTTCTACTCGAATCATTCTATCAAATATAACATTCGTAAACAGTTTGACGGCAGAGGAAAACGTAGTTTTATCTATCAACAGTAGATACGAGCTTAGTGTGATTCAAATCATTTATATGTATATCTATGATTAACATGAAATAACAAGCTACTTAACTGAACTAGTTATTGTCAACAAAAAACTAGTTACACTTAAACATGTGTGGTCAACTACCTGTCATTAATTCTAGCACTGTAGAATGATACCCTTGTAACAAGTGTAATGTTAAAGTGTGAAAATCATAGAATGCAAATTACATTTTGGAAATAAACCAATGCATTGTATATTTAGCATCTTTTTTTAAGAAATAGATATACATCGTGGTTAATTTGAGGCTTAGTAAATGTTTATCGGGTACAAAGGCTTAAGATACAAGCATTTTTGTATGGTACTTTGATGTTCAAGAACAAATTAAGAGAAAGTTGAATTTTTACTTTATAATTGTTGATAAATTTTCATCGAGTATATAAGATATTCGGAAGTATTTATATGTCGCCGACACTATATATGGTTATATTCAACATTATAATTCACGCATTGACATGTGTAGTTCATATACGACTGGTTAGGCGAAACAAAAATTCACAGCCGTTTGACATGAAATTATTGTTAATCCGGAACTAAACCACTAAGATTAGTGGTAACTTGACTGTTAGGTCAGTCTGATGCAATCAGGACTAAACACTTGATAAATATGAATGTTAATTGTCATTAAGTAATCAATCGCTTTCCGATGATTAACTCAGTAAAAATAAATTCGCATAAAGAATAAGAGTTTCTTTTTATTGTGGTTAATTTAACTTAAGCATAGACTATTTTGTATTCATTTAAAAAAAGAAATATTTATAATAAGTCATGACATTAACTTCTTATAACCTAAGATTCATCGCAGAAAACTTTTAAACTTTTGTTTGTTTTAACCCTGAAAAGCAACAACTGTTGTATAATGTAGACTTAGATAGATAGTGAGATTTACTTAAGACATAAGTAACCAGCAAAGAGAATGCACAGAAACAGTTAGTGAATCATCACTGTCTTGTCACTTGTTACAATGGTTCCTGTGCTTAAGTAGTGTTACGTTAAATTCTAGATTAATTAGACTGATTAGATTAGTCGGTGTTAACTGATAATATTTAACAGCTAATTTTTTGCTTTAAAACTTCTTTGAAGTACAATCAATCTTGACTTAGCTACTTTATCCTTTATAAATTAAAACAGAATGTGATGCAAAGATCAACTTGATGTATTCGACACAGTCTGTTTAAGCAAAATATTTCGATTAGTTTGTTCAAACAATTGAATATCATGATGTTTTATGTTAGAAATGAACAAAGGTTAATTCAGTAAATAAGCCGCTATATAAGAGAGAACAAGTTCATATTACTACAAAACTCATATCACATTTCCAAAATACTTCTTAGAATAAAATACATAATGGATTATCAGCGTAGATTAAGCATGGCACCTTACTATTTTTAGACTTATTGACGATTTTGTTCATGATAACCGCTCCTATTCACCTAAAAATATCCTCCTGATAGTTTTAGCACAGAACCTTAAGTCTTTCTTAAGGTCAATTATATGACATTCCTAAAAATGTTTGGCTATCGATAACCATTTTTCTCAACTTTTTATTAAACCCGAATTATGATTTAATCAAAATTTAAAGATAGTTCGCCATACATTTTGTCAGTCTTAATTCCATGAATTGCTTACGTCACTATGTCTACAGACGCTGACAAAAAAACATGAACATAATAGGTTATGACTGAAACATATTGAATTAAATAAAAATCTGTTTTCTAGAAAATACTTATAAACACTATGGTTACGAAGAACAACGTTATTTGAATTAAAGTAATGTAGAGAGGCTGTTCTTGGTTTTCCAGTTAGCATCACTAAACTATACGATACCAAATTTTCTAATTTAAGTATCTTTCTATTTTATCATCCTTGATAATGCAGTTTTTATACAGTTTGGGTCAACTCATTAATGAACTGAAAAAAATTAAGTTAGTAGGTTTCGATACTAACGTTGGACTTGATAGTTTCAAATGAATTGTGAGATGGGTTGAAAGTTAATAAATAAATACATTTTTTATGATATTCTAATGAGTCGAAAATCGTATTTCCGATGATTCGTAAGTTAATGCAAGCCGATTCTTCAGAGAACGCACTTTGTTTCTTAGTCTCCTATTTAATAATCGGAGGTTAGATTCAATAGGTCATTCAAGAAATTCATCATCAATACGACTGATCAGAAAATAGTTCAGTGTTTATTTCTCAGTTTTAATATATTTTGATTTACTAAAAATTGATCATTTAACACACATTTACATAATTCTATTTATGTATTGCAATGATGGAGGTAATTACTTATGGTAAGTACGCATTAAAAGTGAATTTAAACTATGTTTGAAAAAATATTTTAGGGAAATGATTAATAGTCTATGCCCATGAAAATATTTTGCTAATAGTTAAGTACATAGATACAAATACTTTTTTTCAAGAATCACATAGACGAAGCAGAAATAAATTAATCGTTTTTTTATTAGACTGACAAATGGTATGGTATGTGTTGTTGGTAATAAATATAGAATTCTTATTTTTCAATTGTGTGTGTATAGTAAACTGATTTTGGTCTCGATAAAATAAATACAGGTTTTTGATTATTGGAATTTAATTTTTATCATTTACTCGATAAATAATACTGAATAAAGCATCAGAGTAGTTATAAAGTTTTACTTAAGTCAATCATAACCAAGTGACATATCTTTCAATTGAAAACCTTTGCAAACTATTCAACTGAATTTAAATTTTCACTGAGTGAAATCGAACTTATGTAAAGTGTAATAATTGTTAGTTTTATATGGTATTTTAGAACATTTTTAATAAGCAACAATTTTTGCAATATTATAGTCAAATAACGAATCCATATATTATTGTTTGTTGGCTAAATGGAAAACGTCTAAAGAGTAACTATTAAGTGATTTTGATAAAAAGGATTTTACTGTTTTTGAAATTGTCATTCAGCATAATTTTAACTTGATAACTATAGTTTTAAATTATTGAGTTACAGGTAAATAAAATGGAAAGTGTTTTAGAATAGACAAATTTTTCAAATGTATAAATCTTTCTTTTAAATTTCACACGGCCTAATCATTATATTAACTAGTGAAACATCTGTAAGGTTAATATATAGTTGAGGTTGATTCTTTAGTCGAATACTAATATTAAATGTGGAAAAAATCAATATAACAGACTGAAGTCGCAAGTGAACCTTTTATTAAATTCATTTAAGTTGGTATAAATCCTGTTCACAACTTTTAGTATGGTTGTTCTTCATTTTCTTAGCTCATTGATGATCAAGGAAGTGGTTTTTTTGAAAATACTATTCTACCATTAGATTTGAAATCATCATGATTAAACACTTAAAGTAATACAAATTCAGTTCTATTTTTAACGTTAGATTTTATGTGACTGAAGAATTGTTAGTCTGTATCAGTCAATATAAAGTAAAAGTTCGTAGGTTTCTTTTAATTCATGTTAACTATCTATTATATAAACAACTTTCATATTTTAATTCATTCAGCTGTTACTTACGCCTATTACCCCTCATGAAGGAATATAAACCTCTCACCAGCATTCATTAAGTTGTACTAAAAGCAACAAAAACAAACAATAGAAATCGATTCGTACATTATTAGTATGTTTCTTACCTTTATTTATAAAACGAAGAATATGTTTGTTTGTTAGAATTAGATGAATAAATTTTAACATTCATTTTGTGCACTACTCTATAATAATATGATCATCAACATGTTAAATAATTATTTAAAGCAATTAATCCCTTTGATAAATTTCGATAGTGTAATAAGAAGACGAAGATTATTAGAACTATGTGTTATATTAGCACAATACATTTCGAACAATCTGATCATACATAATACACTTTATATATATATATATATATATATATATATATATATATATATAACTTTCAAATTGTGCTCACATTATTTAATATTTTTGTTTCCTCTTACCCTGAAATGGAGAGTAAGAGGAAACAAAAATACTAAATAATGTGAACAAAATTTGAAACTTAATCACTCTGGATAATAAGCTAATATTACCAGGGTAGGTTAAAGGTGAGAACAAACTGTTTTTGAATACACAAAAGAGGTTTGAATTTTCGCATGGCTAAGCCTTCAATAAACCTTAGTATACGCCCTTTTACACTTTTATACAACACCACAAATGCCGAGTTATGATAAATCTTATGGCCTGTTTCGATTATATGTTTGGCAATAGAGGATGATGGATGTTTATTCTATTCTATTTGTTTCTACAATCATTTAGGTACATGTTTACACACCCTAATTTTGAGATCACGATTACCCCTCCCTATGTATGTGTGATGACACACATATTTAAATTAGTTATTACAGTGGGATGTGACGCAATCGTTTTCTTGTCTTTTAAGTTTTCGATGAAGCATGAACCTTTTTGTTTTCTTGATACTGACTTTCGCTGCACAATATGTCTTGTTAATGACTGATTTAAGCCTTTATTTCAATAAACTTCTGTTTGAATCATCTCTAAATGGCAAAATGATGTAAACAGGCTTTTTCACTGTCCTACTGTACCATGAACTTTCTATCTATTTATGAATTTA